AAAAAAACAAAGTCCGAATCTACCTATAGAACAAAATATAAAAGTACATTAGTCTAATCTACGAGTCGCTCAAAAGACTGTCCGACCCACCGACCTACAGGGTCTTGTTGTCCTCATCCCACAGGGGTTGGACCGGATGGTACTCGATTCATGAGTCACACGATGTCACAGCACCTGGTCTCTTATTCAACCTGGGGTCTCTTCTTTTTCTTTTTTTGTAATGTGTTTGAGCCCGCTCCCTCTTCCCTACTTAATTAAGTAGGCGCCTACTTAATTGAGGGAGAGGTAGCTAGTACCTTACTAAGAGCCTACTAGCATGGACACAGGATAACTCACGCACTATTCACTATTCATTTGGTTCCTAGATTTTTAGGGAACTTAAGTTACTGTAACTATATAAGACCTTTCTTCCTTTTGACTTCCCTGTTCTTTGGAGTAGTAGTCATAGTCATAGCCACTTGGCAGCGTCCCATTCTAAATGATTGTATCCCTCGAAACCACCAGGACACTCATTTTTCCTGGCAAAACGGGATCCTATTATGCCTGCACTGGTATGCTTCTTCAGTCGCAAAGTGTGAAAGAACATAAATCAAAGTGATTATTGTCTGCGAAAAGGATGATGTCCAACCCCACATCGTCAAACAACGTCACATGAGTCACATGTATTCAGAGCTTGGAGAAGCAACTTCAGGCCAGGGAATATCCACCACTGTCTGCAAGTGGGTGTGTATTTAAATTGGGAGACCTTCCAAAGACGGAAGAAGGAAAATAGAGCAAATTTGGTTGGAGGTCTCCCTATCAAAAAACACACCCAAATTTGTTTTGATGTGTTCATGCGCCAATCTTGCTTTGCAGAGCACAGTCCACAGCCGAGGCCCCCACAGTCGGAGAATACCAACTTCGAGCGCGCGCTGCTTTGGCACCTGTGAAGCACACGTGCTTCCAGAAGCACACCTCTGAAATGCTACTAACTTCACACCAACAACTCTGACCTCTCTGGATGCAAAAATACAGTAATTGTAAATTGTAAGGTCCAATGTACAGTACATCCATCAATAACAAACGTGAGGCGAGGATATGTTTGTTGGCTCTTGCTTGAACAACTGTGAAGTTGGCCGCACACAGTCAAAAATAACTTATGACTCTAACTCTGACTCCAGGTTTTGGTGCGAGCACAGTTTCAGAAACTAGAAGGTATTCACACGTTGTCCACGGATGACCCTCACCTTGAAGTTGCACAGGAGGCGTCTTCACCGCAACTCGCCCACGTTGGAGGCGCCAGGCGCGCAAGCAAAGACACCTGGCGTGGGTTCCGTGACGGCCTTGCGAAGGGGAGCACAGTCGAAACCCGGAGTGCTTGAATGTGATGAAACCATATGAAACCGGCACCGCGCCATATCCAAAGCTTTATCTGACGATTCATGCAAATTCCAACCCGGTGTCCAGAATGAAATCGTTGAGTCACCCCCAATCTTGTACCTCTCGTCGTCCCATTGTGGCCCTCATTGGCTGGTTCCCAAGGTTGAAACTCATCCATTTCTCCGTCCGTTCAAAGAAAGGAACATGTTTAGGTCCTTTTTAAGGCCCCAAACAAAAGGGACCTTCTTAAAGAGCCCAAACTTCAGTTTCTCTTCATGGGGTGTTTTTGTGTTCTTCTTGTACCTGTTTCTTTTCTTCAGCCGCCAAGGCACAGCAAGAGGCGATCTGCGGAGGCCCAAGCGTCGGCCGCTAAGCGTTCTCCCAGCTCCCTGACAAGGGAGCGTTCCCCCAGGCCCAGCGTTCGCCCAGCACTGGGTCTAAAAGTTCGTCAGCAGGGATATATACCAGCTTGGTATCCAGTAGAACATGGAAGCCACAAGCTGTGGGTCAAGGGGGCCTTTGTCCATCAATCAGGTGCAAAAAGGTACCCCTTTGTTGAAAAAAGTTGTGATGATTGATGATAGCTGGAAACCGCAACAGTTCAACAGTTGCAACAAATGACAGGTCCTTGACCTACAACTTTGGGGCTAGAACTTCTTGGGCCTGCTTCGTGCGGGGTTCTATGATGCGAATTGACATTGGCGATACGGGGGTGACAATCGCCACAGGGGCCGCTATGTTCAACAACAGCAATGCTGGGAGCGCCCAAAGAATCAAGTGGGATTGGCGCCAACATACCCAATCCGTTGATAGGTATGGATAGCTGCATGTCCAGCATGCTCCAACTCTGCTCATCTTTTCCCACAGGACTACAGGATACCACAGGCCATTCACGCCATCTGCCTCGCATCAAGTTTCACAGGTACTGGTGCACATTGATGGGCAGCCTGTGGTCGAACGAAATGCAAACTTAGTCTTTGTTGGTGAAGCCACAAGCAAATGTCCCATGACTGGGTCGACTCTGAATGCTTGCTCTAGATGCTTGTGCCCAAAACTTGATTCTACAATATATTTATAGAACCTGAATGAGTTTGAATGAAGCTGCCACTCTCAAACACGTTATGGCTTTTGGACGACTCAGTGTACCATATCTTGGACCACAGGAGGTACAGTACATCCAAAAGATTCTTGATTGAAGCTGGATAGCTAGAACTGTGTTGCTGTCCATTCTGTTTGACTCGGTTTGGAGGAAATCAGTGCAAAACATGTTGGATATGGAGATACAGTGCAGTCAAAATTTATTGTGCAGGGCTCTTTGTCAGCAAATTCGAACGCCTATTGTTTTGCAGTGCATCTGCGTTCCAGGTAACATTTTACTTGGATTATCGCCTTTAAGATCTTTAAGAATCCTTACATGCTTTTCAGTTCAGCACTTTAATCAACGGGACACAGCAAAAGAAATTGAACTGCGCCTCATACAGTATGGTCCGGTCCTTTATTCAACTTTTAAAGCACTAGTTAACCACATTGTCACATTGATACTTGTGAACATAAACGGCGAGGTGACACCGTGAGAATGAGAGTTCACGTGAACAAACGTGCGCATATGATGTATATATATTATATGTAATATTAAATGTATGTATATATATATTATATATATTGTATAGTCGCATACCGCATATTGCTGTCCCTCAACCCCTTGCCACATACTGCAAGCCTTGATCTTGCTTGCGAGTCTCAGAACATGGAACAAGAGCAAACCGATCCAAACCCATCACACAAACATCCAAACCAGCTGCCAAAACAATAAAACATTAAATCCAAGCTTGAAAATCTCTTGTTTTTTGTTGTTTTTTCGCCGGGTTTTCTGCAGGTCGTGTGGCCTGAGAGCTGGCCATCTCGAACTCCGAGAAACTCGGCGTCGGTCGCGATCCGAGCGACCTGGGGCATCGGACAGGGCCGACGTTGCCCCGTTCGTAGCGTCCGATCGCTCCGTTCGTAGCGATGCCAGGAGCCCCGTTCGTAGCGTCCTTGTTACTACTAGTAAGGCACTTGTTACTAGTAGCGATGCACTTGTTACTAGTAGCGTTCTTGCTCCTGGTAGTACTTCAATCATTTCACCAAAAACAGCTACAGCTGGTGAAGTGACCCACGAAAGGATGCAATCAGAATTGAAAAAAAGGATCAGCAATCGTAAATTGACCTGTGCTTGTTTGCCACACACCACGGGTTCCGAATGGTTCCGATGCGTGTCCGGAGCGTCAGGGAAATGTAATTGAGCTATGACAAGGTATGCAAACACGTCTGCAGTTGATGTCCTTCCACTGCCCACACTCAATCTCATTGTCCACCAAGAACGTTCACTGAATATTGATGTAAGCCCCGGCCCGGCTCATTGCCTGTCGAACACCACACATTTACTATTTACTATTTACCCAACCACCACTCTTAGCCCATGACATGGCGCCATTGGAAAAGCGCAAGCAACATACATTTCGGAATGGGGGGGGCAAGTCACATGTATGCTTGGTATCGTTGCAAACCCACTATATAATTGGTATTGATATGTATTGATATCATTTCACTTGAACTTCAGCAAACTGCCGTTGCTGTTGTCCAAACATGCTAATGTTGCTGGTGAACCTGGCTGTCAATGACTACAGCTGTGTCACATAATGGGTGCCCCCAACCTTCCGATGTTCTGCATATCTTGGCGGCATCCTTGGATGTCCTTGGGACATCTAAGTTGTTGATGACCTTTCCCAACGCTCTAGAGTCTACGCATTGTTCAGTTTCTTTGCCACGCCCGTGTGTGACATCTGTTGATCAACAATCTGCTTTCCATGTTTGGGCCGAAGCTGCACAGTCAAAAGAAATTGACGTTAGCCTTTTGATGACACCTGTTTCTCTGTGAACGAATGCTTTCTACAGCCTTTTCGCCAGCTATTCTTGGTTACTTTGGGTGGCCAAACAGCCCTATAATTCCATTTACAGGAAAACTTCAGCCTCGCAGCTTCGCTGGAGGCTCGAAGCCTTTCATTAACCTTCCACGATCGCGGTGTACAGATTTTTCAGGGCGCTGAACCTGTGCACAGCAGTGATATAGCTGCTTAAGAAGCCTAGAATAAGTTTTTGAACGCAAATGACGTCACTAAAATTCAATAAACAAGTTTCTGCACAAAACACCCATTGACTTTATCTCGGGTGATCCCCACCATTACATTTCAATCAGTTGCTTTCACGTCGTGGTGGGGAGCCCGTTGCCATGGTCGGGGGTTTTGGGGTCCTCAGGCTCGGGGTTGTTGTTCTAGTGTTGGTGTTGGAGAGTTCGGCGTCGGAGCGTCGCCAGGGTCTACAGTCTACAGTTGGCATCCAGAAGTCCGACCCTGTGCCCACCTCCCACGCAAACTGCCTGGCATATAGTGCCACACACACAGGTAGTGCGGGTAGTTGTGTTGTTGTGCTGTGTGTTGCGCCTGTGTTTGTGGTTGTGCGTTGTGGTTGTGTGTTGTGGTTGTGACCGCGCCCAGTGAGTTCCGACGCTTGCTGTTGAGGTCCGAGCGTGCCCGCTGGGATCTGGCCATTGCAGTTGTGAGGCGAGGAGAAGGAGGCGGATGAGGGCAGTTGCGGCAACTCTCTTGGAAAATCTAACATTCCTCACCTGACAGGTGGGGAAATACATCTGACATCATCTGACATACCATCTGACAGGTTGTGACCAAATAAAAACCCTTTCAATGAAGAGACCGTTGACCTCGGCCTACAACTGAAACTGCGGCTGAGGTCTCTGCATGCCGGCTGTTAGCATTCCTTGAACATTGATGAAATTGTTGGTGCGACAACTGCGACAATTCAAACCACATCAAACCACCATACAGTCAACATCTCCCACTTTCGCACACGTTCAAGCAAGGGGCCGACGCCCAAGAAACACAATAACAACTCACGGAATCCCAGGCCACGGAGTGCCAAAGTCACTGCAACTGGCACCTCACATGTCTCTTACATTCACAAGTGAAAGAAAAAACATGTCATGTCATCATACAAGTGAAGACTGAGGGCAGGAACAAAAATCTGAAGCAACGTCAATAAACCAGTGGAAATTACCTCAAACGAGGCCGCCAAGAGTGTCAGACGCTGATTGGTCAGATCTGAATTCCGTCGTGGCCGAGCTGCTGCCAATATTTCAGTGAAGTGGGGAAGGAATAGAGCAATCAACACAGCAATTGTCCTCGCCAAGCCGCAAATGGCAGTTTGATTTGTTGTCACGCCCTGCCCCCCCCTCGATTAAAAATAATACAATGCAAAATGATGGAATCAAGACATTACATATTTGATTGCCAGACCATTTCAAGATCTTTTCAATGATATGCGAAGAAACACAAACACAAAGAGTTTAGGCAAAGGCCGATGAACAAAGTAGTCTCAGTCTAGTCTTGTCCGTTTGGTTGGCAAACGGGCCATGGGATTGACGGTTGGTGCTCTTTTGGGTTGGAGGGAATTGATGCACATTTGATTGACTTGTATTGTCTTGTATCCTTGAACTTTGCGCCAAAGGCGATCAAGCATCCAAATCAACCTATCATTCTATATCGAAGAATCTGGACATGAACCGTCCCCTTTCTTGTGGATTTGGACGCTACTAGTAACAAAAAGCTACTAGGGGCTCCTGGCATCGCTACTAGGAGCAAGGACGCTACTAGGTTGGAGGCTTCCAAAAGTGAGCCGAGGCGCACGGTCGTCACTCTGAGGGTTCGGTTCACCCACGGCTGGGTTAGCAGAGTGTGCTCAGCTTCGAGCACACGAAAAACACAATACCTCAAGTCCGTAAAATGAAAATAAAGCCACAGGTGGGGTGAGCACGTGAGAAGCATCATGCCACATTGTGGCTGCCACAGCCGCAACATCATGCCAAGGGGCAAAACCACTGGTGCTGTGACCATCAAATTCGACACCACAGCCCCCGCGAGGCAGTATCCTGAGCGGATTTCGAAACATGTCATTGGAACCGATCCTTCCAGCTTCAAACAAGCTGCCGAGCATCCACCTCGGTCGAACAGCATGCTTGGCTTCGACATGACTCAAAAATACCCCTGTCCGCATGTGTGACGCCAGCTTGTGCAAAGCCTGACCTGAAGATTTGCATCACTGACCCAACAGAGAAAAGCTGCCTTTTGTCCGTGTTGCATGCCTTGGCCAAGATACTTTTTACCTGGCGCATCCACCTTCGCTGGCAAGTTCCCAGGGCAACCAGGTGGATCACACATGGAAAGCCTCAAGTGTGCGTGCTGCTTCCAGCCTCTGTATCCAGTCTGTGTTCATTTGCCTTGCTTGCCCTGCTTTCCTTGCAAACAAAATTGCACCTTCATGCAACCATTCCATTCATTCTGGGCCCTCGGGCAGCACGTTCCCTGCCACTTGATTTCCCCAGCCAAGATAGGCCACCTGGAGAAGGTTTATGCACGGCACATGGATTAGTGTTACAAGCCAGGTTCAAAGTTGCTATATAAGTGTTCATCGTTAATCGTTTTGTGGGAGAGTCGAATTCTCTGTCCTTGGCCCCAGACAGAGCCCAGGCTCACATAGAGGAACACCACAGTGAAGAATGAAAAACGCAAGGCCAAATGAAGGCTTCTAGGCTCCTATGGCATCTGCAATCTCATGGCATTGATGGTGTCAGCCAGGCTACTACATTCAAGAGAAATGTTCTCACATTGTCATCGCACTCAACATTCCACTCCTTCATGTCATGCTTCAAAACGGGCAAAACATCACACGGCGAGTACGCATAGACCATCACAGCCTGAAAAATGTATTTCCAAACACGTTCTGACGCAATTCTGATCAAAACAAGAAGCCACTCAAATATTCGTCTGTGTACATTGTACCATGTGCAAACCAGAATTTGTGGAACTATACAATCACAGGAGCACTGAGCCATTGACAAAATCTGCAAGAAGATTTGTATAGGTATTGGGCCATGTCCTCTGCCGTTTTCGACTGGTGCACAATGAATTGCTTGCGTAAAGCATGTGGCACAACTCAAGCAAGGCCTACATACCTTCCAAGCTCTAAGCAGCCTCAGGGTCTAGTTTGACACAAGTTTCAATCTCATCATGAGGCTACGGCTTGCTTGGAGTTGGATTTAAAGCCGCAGCTTCGACACCTGTGGCACTCAGCATGATCGCACCAAGAACTTGTAGCTATAGCAGGACCACTGCGCAACTAGCCTCCGGCTGAAATGGTGAGTAAGTACACCACAGAGGCGATCACTCCTGAGTTCAAAGGTCCCGTGAGTCGTGCCATGTGGCATAAGGCCTAGTAGCTTCTTGTTCCTAGTAGCGATGCCAGGAGCCCCTAGTAGTGTCCTTGCTCCTAGTAGTACGGCCAGGAGCCCGGCCCTAGTAGCTTCTTGTTCCTAGTAGCGATGCCAGGAGCCCCTAGCCATTCAGATGTCTGGCCAAGCTTCCGATGAAAGACCTCAGCAAATGGAGCCATTCATCCACCACTGAACTTCTTGGTTAACGGTTAAACAACCGGGTTGAGCCCATTCATTTCCCACCCCTCAACTTCAGCCGGGGCCTGAATCTACAACAAAACACACCCACCCTTCTGGCGGTGCTGCCTCATCCCCGTATCCTTCAAGCACTTGGGACCCACACCATCGAGAGATCACTGTGATGTCTTGCACAAACATCAATCGCATGCAAAGCAGGGCACCTGACAATGCCACATTCGGCAACTTGTGGGACACGGGTCTTAAGCGGGAAGTGTCAAAGGTGGAAAATGCTTGGGCATCCTGTGTGAGCATGATGTCAAACGGCCTGTTAATGCCCATTGACGCTGCGTCATGCCATCCAAGGCGTAATTCAAATTGGCGCCGATGACAACAAAGTAAACGCCACACTTGCCTTTCAGGCTACGGAGCCCCACATTCCAAATGGGAATACAGGGGAGCCGGAACTGAAACTCTGAAACATGATCGACCATTTCATTACAGGCCAAAGTAGCGAATAGCTCTCCTAACAGCGATGGCCTCCAACCCAATAGCGAGGGCCTCCCACCTTCTAGCGATGGCCTCCAGCCTAGAAGCGATGGCCTCCAACCTACTAGCAGCAAAGCGGCAAGCATGTCATTTTTGACAAATGGAGAATTAGCAAGCCGAGAGGCTAATCTGAAAAACACAAGTAAGAAATAGAACCTTGGACCAGCCACGAGCGATGGCACGCGTGGACCAAAAGGCTGTTATCCGCGGATACAGTCTCATGTCTCAGATGCCCGATGGGGTGCTATCAAGCAGCAGCTCGTCTCCCACGCTGACCAAAACACTCCTTCAAGCTAAGGAAAGAAGAATCTAAAGCAGTTTGCCACTCCCTGCGACTACCGTAGAAACAGGCAGTAGTTCACGGGCTCATGTAGGAGGTTCAAGCTTTGTCTTCAGTATCCGGGAGATTCCATGTAGCCAATAGGAAGCTTCTGAACTTCTTCTCTGCACTCCTATCATACTCCAGAATCCGCGGTCCTGAACAACATCTCCTGAGCGGTCGGAACAGGGATCTATCTAAGCGTATGGGTTTGGGGTGATCATTGTTTCATTCGGTTGGGGACACTGAAACAGACCAACGCCACTCTGTGGAGGCTCAAGTCTTTCTCCGATTCATGCAGCACATTCCCAGCTGAGATCGAAGCCAATGTTTCTGGGATGTTGTCCGTAGGTATCGGCCAGGTGGTCCATTGCCTGATCCACCTCAGCAAATCCCGGGTGCCCGAGGATAGGGTCGAAGAAATCTCAGTTTTTGCTAGCTGGTCGGGCTTCATACAAACACCCCTGCACGCCAAAAACTGTGTTTAGAAAACATAGTGAGGGTTCGTTCTTTGCACAAACTTTTGGGTGTGATGAGCGCAAAACAGCTGCTTGACTGAAATGGAGAAAGCACCGATTGGCATCCATGTCATGTTTCTAGCTCACAGTGTGTCACTGGGAGTAGGGACGAATGTTGCTGCTCGGTGAGCTGAGAGCCCCAAACCATGGTGCAAGCTTGATAGGAGACGAAGCCAGCAAGTAACACCATGCCGGGGCCCAAGGCCTCAGAACGCACTCCAAGCTCGGGCCTCCAGGCGAGCTTAACCAGGAGGGGCTTCGAAGAATATATATAATACAAGATGGCAGGTGAACTCTCCAATTCTTTGAATTCACCATAGTGTCCAAAACTCGTAATTATCATAATGTAGTCATATAGTTAGACTATATATATATAATTTATATATATATATTAAAAATATATCATAGTCCTTAAACATAACGGGCGTGATGCCCTGCTCTGAAGCCAGACCAGTACTGCAGATACAGGCTTAGACTGTGGCCCAGCCATTGTTTGCCACCATGCGCGGCAAGCTCAGCACACTTGCCCCGACCATACAAGTCCTTGGCATTCAGCGGTACAGCGTTCCCAAGCGGGATGCGTCGAACTATCGCTCCGGCTCGGACCCCACTCGACTAAGGTCACCACACCAGATTGGATGAAGCTGCCCAGACCGTAATCTTGGGCCGCTCCTGCGAAAGGACACGCTTCGCCGTCTCTTTGCAAGGAGCATGTCGTTTCACGGCACATTTATGAACCAGTCGCGACATTTGTCCAGCGATTCTGGTAAAACTGCTAGCTGCTATATTTTACATACACAATATACACAAACATCTATTATATAGTCTATTTTGTCCAGGTGCGCTTGTGTGGCGTCTTAGTCATTCACTATTGCCTAGTGGACCTAGATGGACCTAGGACATTGATGGACGTAGGGCCTCTCTGACTCCAATGAATCCTGAAGTCCGAAGACTTCGAGACCCTCGCACACTATCGCACACTGATTTGGTCATGATCTGGGCTCTCAGCAATGCAAGTGCGGGACATGAACTGGTCCAGTTCTTCATACTTCACCCGACAACATTAATTTCCAGAAGTTCCCACGCCTCAGTGTCCTTGTGGTTCGCCTCAGGTTTGTAACGCTGTCGGGCACTTGACTAGACTAGAGGTCAACTGTAAGATCTTTATTGGCCTATTAGGTTGACTGGTTGCTTTTGTCGGCAAGGGGTGCCCCTAAAGCTGGATTCAATCGCCTGATTTTCTGTTCTGCAACCGCGACTGTCGCAAGGGTTATGGACTACCATCGCAAATGGCAGCCAATGGCAGCCTCCGCTGCTCGTATAAGATGCATATAGATGCAAAAGGAATGAAAATGATGCAAATGTGATAACATCCTCTCCTTGTGCTTGTGTTATCGTTGCCCAGGGCATCTTGACTTCGAATGATGCCCCACGGCTGGGCATGCGTTGGAGCGCGGTCGCTTGAGGCTCAAACATGCGCCACCAAGGTTGACTCTTCACCATCGTCACCTTGGGGCTAAGGCTGCTCATGATGACATGGGTTTGAGTGACAAAAGCAAAACAAGATCGGTGACCCCCTGTGAGGATTTGGGAAGATCAAGAACCATCAGTTGAGGTCCGACTCAAATCCATCAAGTAGTCCAAGCAGTGACCGCCATGTTCTTTCCGCGGTCCAAAAAGTGAAGTTCTAACTCTCTGTAAACTTGGCCGCCAGCTGTCAACAGCGATCTCTGTGGGCTCCTGGCACCATCAATTTCCAAAGTGTCATCTGATGTCAACTGTGCACTTCAAGCGATTCACCAACTTCAGGAGGAACTGTCTTGCGAAACCTGTGCTCTGAGGGCGTCCCTTGAGCTATCAGGGTGGTACAGTTCATGAGTTGAACATTTGAGAACGGGCCCATCTATGCACCCGTCTATCCACACAAAGTTGCATACCTTTGCATACCGTTACTTACCCCTTGCAGTGGCCCCTGAACAAACACACACACAATCACACAATCACACACACACACACGACTCCCAAAAATGGTGACCTCGTCAACGCCGCAGAGTCCGCATGTCTGTTTGCATCTTGTTTGCTCCACCTGACTTCACTTTGGAGAAGTGGGTCCTTTACACCCATCACCTCACCTCGTGCTTGTGGAGCTGCCGGCGCACATGGGTGAGCCGAGGCAAGCTCCGCTCAGAAGGCACCACATCAGGAGAAAGGTCATCCTGGCAACGGAGTGTTTCTAGACAGTTCTGTTGATTTCCTGTCCCTTGGCTGCCTCGGCTTGCCTGTTTATGTACACTTCCTGTTGGGTCATGGTTTGTTTGCGTTTTGCTAATGTTCTTGGAAGTGTGCCATACACTTTATGAAGTTTTTAGAAAACAGGACGATACAGGGCGTCGTGAACGGTACACAGCAATTGGAATGATAGGCCAATCCATGCCTCCTCCTCATCCCCACCGAAAGAATGCTCGCGTGAGATGTCCTTCCCAGAAAACCGAACACAATCACCCCGTTCGATCTCGCTCGCCAGTGGCTTCTGCAGTCAAATCATGTTAGCACCACTCATCCAATTGGCTAGTGCGATCACAAGCGTCTGGAAAGCATATCATTGCTAGCCCAAAAATGCTGTTAGTGAATAGTGCTTGCGGCGCCTCACGGCCAATCACCTCGGGATGAACCTGCATGACGTGACATGTGTGAGGCAACAGCAAACTCTAGTGCAAGAAGTGAAGCCTTCAATGGTCAACAACTTGTTGTTGGAAGTTTGATTAAGACACAGTGTTCCTGAGCGACCTGTGGCAATGTCACAATGTAGGTTCTACCTCTGCAGTGTGTAGGTGCCGCTAGGAGGAGGGTATTTCCAACAAGCCGAGCCTCCATCGACGGTATCGCATGACGTGGAGCATGAAAGACTTGGCTGGCAATTGTATTAAAAATCCAACCGTTGGGAGTTGCTTGGTTCGCGCGGTCAGTGCGCGTCACTTCTTGCATGTGCTGTCTATTTCTCAATTGCTTGAAGCAGTTGAATGCCAGATAGGTCTAGTTGCTTGTGGTGGCTCAGGTCATGTCAAGCAGCATGAATCAGCATCAGCAACTCAAATGATGGAACATTATGGACCATGGAACACTCTGGGACGGGTGAGTGGCACACCTAGTCAGCTAGTCTTGTGGTTTGGCTTTAGGATTGATTTCAGTAGTTTGTGCATGGTTCCACTGGTCTATTCATGTTTGAGAGAGCCAAGACAGGCTTCGGCGTGACGACCTTGGCACAACAAACCACAAAAAACACTATAGTATAGCCGCATAGCCTATTGACTGCCACCACTCCAGTCACAAATACCAGACAAGTTGCCCATTTCATAGACCCTTGCGGGCAGGCAGCATCAAGCGGCAGTATATAACTAGATGTAAAATAAGACAGCTGCACTCTGCTCACTTTGCATTGTTCACAGCAAACACCAACTCGGTGACGACACCGTGCTCAGTCGGTGGGCCCTCCAATCTACAGTGAGAGGCAGTCCAAGCTGATGTAAAACAACATTCAACATGTTCAATGGGTCTCTCTCTATGTATATAATCTATGCTATATATATATGTAGATGATTATTTATGTACGTTTGATTCTAGGATTCTATGCCGATCTATCATCCCAATGATCTGAAGTTTGTCTGAGCATATAATCACCGTTGATCACCTGTTCAGCCGCCCGAACTCACAGGCTGTCATGTCTTGGGCCTTTGGAGCCCCTTTTTGTTCTCCTCCTCGTGCATAAGACACTGGTGGCAGTCTTCGATTGGAGACTCGCAGCTTCTCAGCCAATAATTCCTCCGAATTTAGTGCAGGAACTTCTCCCTGTCCACAGCGGCCAATGGAAACGAATGTTGTGGCCACACATCCAGGGAGGACATCTAATACAAAGCTCCTTTCCACATCATCTGGATCTTACGAAGACGTTCGGGTGAGCATCCCACTTTACATCACTATCACTTCAAGCATCTGGAGCTTCCTGATCGCTAGGTCAGAGGTGCCAGGAAAAGGCATCTGGCCAGGCCTGAAAAGCCCAAGGAGCTCTTAAAGGCTCTGGGCTGAATCACAGCCACCAAACCTGCAAGAATTTCACAAACCTTCATCTGTAAATTCTCCACACCCTCCTGTGAGCATTGAAAACCAGCAGTCACAGGAGTCAAAAAGAAAATTAGCTGCATTACTAGACAAGCCTTTCACTATGACCAGCAAGCGCATGCCCCCCTCGCAACTACACTTGTTTGAGTGTTCAGCATCATAACTCCATGGAATGAATCGACATGTCATTCACGACTCACAAAAAACTCTCGAGTGAAGGACATTCTCCTGGTATCAAAGGCTCCTGATCTTTGCATTTGGAGTCCTGAGGATCAACTCGGACTCCTTCAGCGTGAGTTCTGGCATCACCAATCCCCAACTCTTTAGGCCTTAGGCCCATATAGAGTAGATTCTATGACTGTGATGCGCAACCCTCTTAATCAAACACAATGTGTATATGACTGTATATGTGTATACCGCAAATGCAACACAATAGAATGAGCCAAACACGAGCTTGGCCGTAGCCCTTCAAGTCTTCCTCAAGACCTCTCCTTCATTTGTCGTGATGTGAAGGGTGCAGGTGACACAAAGCGCGCTTGCCTTGGAATTGAAGGCGGCAGTGATGGTGCTATCGGACTGAATCAGAGAGGATCCAAATCCTTGAATAATACTCACAATGAACAAGTGCGTCTTGTTTTGCTGTGTCACGGCGGAGTGGGCGGCACCACAAAGGGAGTGAAGTCCTGGACAGCACGTCTTTGCCACAAGACGTATGTCAAAATATGTCAAAATGATCGCGCTTTGTTGGTCAAAAAACAGCACTGTTAGCACCCTGAGTCTGGTGATGTTCAAGACCGGAAGTTCAATTCAAGGTGAAACAAACATAATAACATCACACTCATTCACACGTCCATTAAACTTCCTCGTTCACACTCTTCCAGTCCTTTCCCTTCACTGGCGTCTGCACTGCCCGGTACCTGTGAGTAGAGCCGGCAAGAAGGATGGACATCTTGAGCCTCTTCAGCCCCTCCAGTCATCTGGCATGGACCTATACAGTAACTAGCACATTCCACCCCTGCTTTTTTAAACCTGCTTAGCTTTCAGTGTATCAGGGTATCTCTACAAAGTCCATTTGTGGAGCTTCTACGTCCACTATGAATGCATGGAAGCCACGTCATTGCTGGCGACAACCTGGCAGCAGCCATGATCCGCGGAGGCTCCGGCGTCGGTCTCCTCGGCCCAAATCGGAGACTAAAGAACAGCTTGAGAGACTCATCTTTGAGGAGGGTGATGCGTCCGGGAGCACATGTCCAAAACGCAAAAAGGATGCGACGAAACATTCTCAGGAACCAAAGAAACATGCTGACTGAATGACCTAAATCGGAAATGTGACCCCTCTTCCATCTATCTTTTTGCCGAGGAGCTCCACCTTGGTGTCGGGCAAACTTCCGGTGGTGCCTTCCCGAGCCAGGCGACCCAA